ACCCCCCCCCCCCCCATTGTCTGCTTTCAATATGCGGTTCTCACAAAGACAATACAACATAAATTTCACAGTAGGACAATACAAATTTCACAGCAATTGAATGAATGAGATCTGCTCATTTCATGAAAGGGGGGAGAGAGAGAGAGAGAGAGAAAAACCCTCTTTCTTTCCTCTCTTTCATTTAAGAACTTCACTGCCTGTGATATAAAAGATTTTTCCCCCTATTTTTAAAAAACACCTGTATCCTAAATCTTCTACCTGAAGGCAAAAGCTCAAACTCATTATACAGTGGGTGCCTATCTTCAGATATAATTTTCATAGCTTTACCAAGACATCTAGTCTGATAAATTAGTTTTAAACCCAACACAGGGATACCAAGTAATTTACTCGCAGTACTTAAAATTTTCCTGAACATACTCTTTTGTTTCACCATAACATTCCCGAACCAGCAAATAATACAAAAGGTCAGTACACTTTCAATAAAAGAGTTATAAAACACCTTTAACAATGGAGGGCTTACACTGAATGACACCATCTTCCTAAGGAAATATAGCCTTTGCTAGCCCTTTGTGTTCACAGCGTCAGTCCATTTATCCCACCTCAATTTGTGATCTAAAACAATGGTAGGTATTTATACTCAGATACCCTCTGAATCTGCTCCCCTTTAACAATGGTCGCACTCATTGAGGACTCTTTCCTAAAATCAATACACATTTCTTTCGTTTTTGAGACATTTAACTTGAGATTTGATACATCACACCAAGAAACAAATTCATTTAAAAAGGGTCCATGACTGCCCTCATCCCCTTTAAGGAGACTAACCAATGCAGTATCATCTGCAAATTTGATTAAATATCTCTCTGGGCAAGTACTCCTACAATTGTTTGTGTACATAATAAACAGTAAGGGTGAGAGGACACAACCTTGTGGGGAACCAATATTTGTGATTTGTTTGACAGACAATGAGGTACCCACACACACTCGTTGAACTCTGTTACTTAACATTGTTACATATTGTTTACTCACATCTTGAGGGTCCTAAAAATCATGTGAAAATTTCTTCTGCCTTTAATAATATTGTGCCATCTGTTCTGGTCGAAAGATTATCTGTAGATTTCTCTCTAGATGGAGGAGTGGTTTTGTGGTTGTGGGATTTTTTAAAATAGCATCATCTACTCCCTTGTTTGACTGATAAGCAAATCAGATCAAATTTTGTTGTAACTGTGTAAATAAGTTCTAATAATAAATTTAATTTCTGATATTTAAATGTCTGAGCAAGAAAGTTTGGTATACCCAACCATTATAATACAAGCATATTCATTTCTTAGCATTGCAGAGTTGCATAATTAAGGTGCTGTATAATGGCCTGCAAATGGGGAACATAAAAGTGAAGCTACATTCATTAGTAAAGGAGTAAAAGTGATGGATGATTGCCGAAGACAGAGATAGAGCCCAGTTTACTAGAGTTGGGAAGGTCTGAGAAGACACTTGCCCCGGGTGAGATGCTCTCTCCAGGTCATACCTGAGAAGTTCCTATTAATGTCTAGGGCTACAGAGGGCCCTGGGGGTTCATTTCACCTTGAAGGGGAAAACAAATAGTAAACATTCTTTAGACTATTGTTTAAAAAAAAAACATTTTCAATATTACGAAGTTAAAAGGGGGCGTCTGCTTTCTCCCCCCGGGATCTAGACCCCTTGCCAAGGTATAGGCGGAAGGGTCAGTTGGTCAGCCGATGGGAAAAAAGACCCCCAGAGCTGTTTAGCTGGAGGCTGATGAGCCTGTCGCAGTGGGGAGATCAAGTCCGCTCTTTATTGGGCCCCGGGCCTCTCTCCGCCACCAACCCCTCACTCGACGACTCTCACATTCGCCATATCAGATTCTCCACCATTCCACTGTGAAGCTAAGGAGCACTTGATCGACAGTAATTACAGCTCCTCTAAGCCAGCAACTGATAGCTGGGATGTGTGTCCTAAGGGGGGCTTGGGTCATGAGAAAGCAGGATGAACATATCTGTTTTTTGAGCATATGAGTGAGTGAGACAGGGGAAGAGAGAGAGAGAGAGAGAGAGACGGGCCACAATGCGGTGAAGCTCCCAGAACAACC